ATGCATATGTATGTACGTAGTGATATTCAGGACACAATGACATGTACAAATGTAAGAGACAGTTTTATAGTTGTTTGCTCTATTACTATGTTGTGACTATTGATGAATTCCATTAAGTTAAACTTGTATATGATGAAACAACACTGTAATAGAAAAAGCACAGGATGAAGAGTCTGGAGACTTAGATTCTAGGACTACCTTTACCATTTAACTTCCCTTTTCAGGGCCCTTGCTTCCAGATTTTAAAATTGAGGAAGATCTTTAAGGTTTCTTCTAGTTGCAAAATTCTATAAAATGCAATGATTCTATTTTTTTTTTCTTTAGTTACACCAAATCAAGAGAAATGGGTCAGACATTGTCAAGTTAGTGAACTCCCTGGGTATTTTTTTAGGCAGTACAAAAGGGCCTTTTAATAATATGGAAGCCACTTTGAGTCCCAGCACACTGAACCACTGGGCTTTAGCATTATTCATGTGACAGACACTTAAATGGAGTTGCTTGGTTGGTGGAAAAAATTATCTGAAGACTCTGAAGGAAGTGGGGATAAGGCCCAAGGGTAGAATCCTAAAAAGATTCCACTTCTAGCTGCTGTGAGACTCTGAATGAATGGCATCAGATGCAGGATATGGAGATAATTCATAGAACTAGGCATAATTATGAACTTCTGAATGCTGTACCTCTATCAATTTATTTCGTATTCAAAATGTATTTTCTTGTGTGGGCAGAACAATGTTCAGGAACAGGAATTATCTCAACATTCTGTTTTTGTTGATTGATATGTAGAAATACAGAAACATACCATATTGCTTAACAATACAAATAATTTGCACCTGAAATTCATTTGCTTAGTCCCTTGGAGCCCTACAGAACAAAATGTTTGTAACAAATACAGCTGTGCTGGCAATACTATTGTGTTAGGGAAAACAAAAAGTTGGTCTCTGGTCCAAGGAGCTTATAGTCCAAAGGAAGACAGGGAGGAGTTTTGAGAAATCTGGCTTTTAGTTTGGGTTTTCTATTTCCCAAACGTGCCCTGTACTTTTATGATGGTGTGATTTTTGTTCTTGGTGACTTTTTTTTTTTTTTTTAAAGCTGGCATGCCTGTTCTCTTCCCCAGCCACTTAAATGTCACCTCTGTGAAAAGCTTTCCCTCTCTCCCACCCTCCCGCAGTAGGATGCCTTTCCTACCCTCCTTTGTGCTCATGCAGTCCTGTTAGCTCTTGATCATACTACCCAAAGCCACTTTAATATTAGAGTAAGTTGCATTTGTGATCTAAGGGTCAGGACCCTACTTCATTCCTCAAAGGGCCTCTCCAAGCACTTACAAGAAGGCAAGAGAAGTCTGGAAACAGAGGAGAATGCATATTTAAATAACAGTAGTTGTATCTTCAAATAATATGTTGAATATACTTTCCTCTAGTCTCTAGACAACTTTGCATATAAAATGCCTCCAAATTTCAAGCCATTGGTGCAATCACTGATCTGAAATTTTAAAAATTAAATAAATCAGAGAGCTTCCTTATGTTTCTAGATTTTTAAAAAAATCTTTACTATGTACTTTCTCCAAAGGGGATATTTAATAAATTTTTGCTGAATCTTACTGGGATTGCCTTTCCTCTGCACCTCTTTTGTCTCATCTGTAAAAGGAAAATGCTATCTGTTCTGTCTCTTTTACAGGGATATCACAAAGGTAAATGAGAAAATGGCTGTGCAATAGAAAAAAGCAGTATGAAAATGCAAAATGTTGTTCTCGTTAGCTATCCAAGGATTTACTTCATGTCCATATTGTGACACTTGAGTATGCGGACTTTGGCTAACCCCATTGCAGCTGCATTAAAAAAGATTCTTCATGAACTGCTTAAGAGAAGAAGCCAAGAGGCTGATTACAGCTTAGGGCCCCTCCACAGCCATCAAAAGTTACCAAAGGGATGCTGGGACTTCAAGTTTGTTTCCAATTGTGCAGGAGGAAAGTCATGGCCTCAGCCATCTGCTTCCTGTCTCCATCATGACTCACACCTTTCAGGTCCACTTTCCGGAAGTTCATATGAGATCTGCTCAGGCCTGCTGCCCAGAGACTTGATGGTGTTAAGGTTCAGGTAGCTATGTGAAAGGAGAAGCATGAATCTAGGACCTGAGACCCAGGGAGACTGACACAAGGTCATAAGCTTTTAGCTTATTCAGAAAAACCAGTTCAATCTCCATTACTGGTAGTGTAAGCATGATGCTATTGCTTCTCTTAGGATGTACTGAGAGGATACAACATCACTACTATGATATTCCTGCCCCAAATTCAGAATCTGAATATATTCACAATGAAACATCAGACAAGCCCAAATTGAAAAGCATTCTACCAAGTAACTGGCCTGTACCCTTTATTTCTAAAATATACTGTACTAAGAGATACAGAGTCTTAGGAACTTTTCCAAATTAAACAAAACTAAAAGGACATGAGAACTCACAACATGTAATTCTAGATTGGATTTTGGACCACAAAAAGAACGTTATTAAAGCAAATGATAAAGTCTGAATATGGACTGTAGAGTATATAATAGTTTTGTGCCAATGTTAAATTTCCTAATTTTGATGATTGTGTTATGGCTATGAAAGAAAAAAATCCTTGTTCTGAGGAACTACATACTGACATATTGAGGGGTAAAGAGGCCTACTGTTAATCTCAATGGTTCAGAAAAAATAATATGTACTACATATTTATTTGTGTATGTGTCTATATATATTATATATGTGTGTGTGTGTATATATATATATATATATATATAGAGAGAGAGAGAGAGAGAGAGAACACAAGAAATAAGTAAATGAGGCAAAATACAAACAACTAGTGAATCCCTGTAAAGAGATACATAAGTTATTATTTTTGCAACTCTTCTGTAAGTTTGAAATGATATAAAAATAACGAGCTATAAAAATAGTAAGAATTATACCAAATTTAAATGTTTATTTAAAAACTTGCTCTAGAAACTGATATAATGTGTTACTTAACATTTGCTTGCTTAACTGTCTTTAAAAAGTAATCTTCAAACGAAAATGAAACACTGAAAATTCCACAGTTAAGAAAACCGTGAAGCTCTGACAATGCCGCCACCTGTGAGCTTGTTCTAGTCCTTCAATGGTTAGAATTGAGTCATAAGTGCCTGCAAGCCCAACCAGGAAAAATAGTTTAACAATACAAACACTCACCTTGGTGGACTTACGGATGGAGGGTCCTCGCCTAAATGACCTGAACATGTGAGTTGAAAAACTGAATGACTCAAGTGTGCAGACCAAATGTCCAAGCTGCCTTCACACTTTAGGGAAGGTACCGATGGAATATGCTAGGGTAAGTCATGCTTCCCAGAAGGAAGGTGGGGGCAGAAAGGCATAGGGCAAAGATATAGTAAGAAACTGGGTAGTATAGAAGGTGCTGTGTGGACAGTGGAATGACAGAAGTAGACTATTCCCATCTTGGCATGTCCATATTTTCAAGCTTTGCTGCTCAGCAAAGAATAACTAAAAGCCAAATGTAAAAACAATTTTCATCCATCTCATAATCTCTAGGTAACACTGGTTACACAGAGTTCGGCAAATACTTCTTTGGGGAAATGAAATAGCTCAGCAGGACAATGAGAAAGTTCTGGAAGGTTCAATAGCAGAAGTTAAAGAGGTCATTAAAGCAATGGAACAGACATTAGAAATTATGGGGCAGGCAATAGCCAGATTAGCAAGGAAATTAAAAGACTGATATGGAAAAAAGAATGAAAATGAATGTCAGGTAGTGGTGTGTTGTTAAATGTTTAGCAACTGACTTTCTGTGAGAAAAAACAACCTTGACTTACAGTATTTGTTAATTTCCATGGTGTAAATATTCCCACCATGGCTAAATTCAAGTTACAAACATGATGTCACTCAACACAGGGTTGAGAAGCAAGGTACACAATCAGCTCTCACCACCTAGTGTGAGCTGGCTCCAGCATACCACTGATGGTGACTTGGGTATCACTCTCGTACCTAGGTATGTTACCCTAGTAAGTAACTTAAACTTTCTGGCTCTCAACTTCCTCATCTGTAAAATGTCAAACCTCATAAGATTAGAGAATCAAGTAAAACTAATTTATCTCCATCTAAGGTGTCTTCCAGCTCTGAGTATCTCTGGTTCTGTGATGCAGTTAGCCATATGGGTGGCTCTTCGCCTTTTACCATCTCACATCATGTCCTGTGGGCAGGAAAAAAATAAAAGAAGCCTACAAGAAGTTGCTCTACCTTATGGTAATCAGAAAAGAAGCCACATTAACACTGCCTTAAGTGTAAGAGGTTCAAGGCAGTGATCACTCTAGATTTTCTACACTGAGATTTCTGGGTGAGAATCTGTTTGGGTAGTGGGGCTAGAGAATTGACGTGCTTCTGTTATTTAATGATATATTTATTTGGAATACCTTAAGGAGTATACATGGTGACCATGGCCGATGCAATGTGTATATGTGATCTCTTCCTACACTGCACCAGAATCTGCATAGTAATGAAGAGTACGCTGTGAAACTAGGAGCTATTCATTTGTTGATGTCCAGTAAATCTAAATGGAGTAAGCAACTCAGTGCAACTTTTTGGGACTGCTAACTTTGTCATTTACACTGACTGGTGCCTGGTGACATAAAGTGCTCTGAAGACCCCCTTTGCTGTGTCTCTGAATTGGGGAGACAAGTGCTCAACCCATGTCCCAAAACATGGTTTGGTTACCTCATTAGCTTTGGAGACCTTTTTGAGACCCTTTGGAAGAAGTGCTAGAATATAGCAGGAAATAAATAAACCAGGAATTGGAGGAATAAATAAAAGTGACTAGAAACTTGCTCCCTGCTTGGATTTCCAGAACTTCAAGCTAATAGAGCCAGATGAACAAAATTTCTGGCCTTAATGTGCTGTCGAGTTAGAATGGAAGAGAAAACTTTCATCCAGCCATTCAGGAAACTCCGAGTGCAAAGAGGTTTAGTAAGGTATAAGAGACATAATACCTTGTGCTTCCGGAGGCTGCCAGGACTGGTGGGCGTAGAGATGGGAGACTGCTTAGACTTGGGGGTAGAGAGCTGGCTGCTGGAGGTTCCGTTTGCTAGCCCAAGGCAAGAGAAAAGGAAGGGATAAAAATCAACAGCATACAAAGGATCAAGTTATCCTTCCCCTCTGAAGACACTAAGAACATTCAAACGAGGTACACAGACAACCAAGTGATTTGGTGAGTAGAACAAAGTGAAAAGAAACACATTCCTCAAAAGGACAAGAACTGCAATCCTCAGTTAATTGGATCCCTGTGCAGTGCAAGGCCGTCATCCTCCCACCCTTTCCTCCTCGGTGCTTCCCAATCACAGGGGTCTGTTTCTTTTCATTCTTTTTCATATTCATTCCCAGGTTTGCCCCAACATCTTTGGGTGGTAGTCAGGGAAGGTATTATTTTGCTTTAATTTTTCAGAGGACAAAATGAAACACAGAGAGGTTATGTGCCTAACCTTAAAAGGGAAGAAATATGGGTGATTTTAGACCAGTGCATATTTCCTTTGGTGGCAGATGATGGGGTAGCTGAAAGACAGTCCCATTGTCAGTCTCTCTCCCTCTCTTTTCCTGCTCATGCCCCACCACTGTGCCTTTCCTACCTCATGCTACATGTGTGAAAAGAACAGGAGGAAAGAGCGAAAATAGGCTGGTCAGGAAGAATGAAAGACAAAGTGGAGGAGAAACAGAAGGTGAAACATTTAAAAAAGCCTCAAGCAGCAGAATGGGCAGAGGAGAAAATTGAAAAAGAAGGAGAGAGACAGAGAGACTAGGAATAGAGGAGAAAACAGGCAAGGAAGATGGTAAGAGATAAAAAGAGAAGGAGGAAGTTGAAACAGGGAGAAAGGCATAGAGACACATAAAGGTCCAAATTGGTAGCCACGGTCAGGGTGCACCCCCATTTGCCTCTAGCCAAGAAAACGCTGAAAATAAGACAGTTTCTTTTTTTTTTTTTTTTTTTTTTTTTTGAGATGGAGTTTCGCTCTTGTTACCCAGGCTGGAGTGCAATGGCGCGATCTCGGCTCACCGCAACCTCCGCCTCCTGGGCTCAGGCAATTCTCCTGCCTCAGCCTCCTGAGTAGCTGGGATTACAGGCACGCGCCACCATGCCCAGCTAATTTTTCACACCTTTAGTAGAGATGGGGTTTCACCATGTTGACCAGGATGGTCTCGATCTCTTGACCTCGTGATCCACCCGCCTCGGCCTCCCAAAGTGCTGGGATTACAGGCTTGAGCCACCGCGCCCGGCCGACAGTTTCTTTTTAAACATCTTTATATTCTATTGTGTTCTTAAATTGTTTCATGTTCCCTCACTAATAAGCTTTTTAATATGCAACCACGAACAAAGAAATGTGGTATATTAAAAGGGAATAATTAAACAGCTTTCAAAGTGGATTTTTGTTCAGACATATCATGCCAAAGTATTTTTTAAATTTTAAGACCATTGTTAAACAGAGATATTCTAAAATGTAACAAAGGCAAATATCCTGAGGGTGTGTGGAGAGTGGAGGAGAGAGAGAGTAGGACGGAGAAAGAATGTGTGTGTGGGGTGGGGAGAGAGAGAGAGAGAACAGAAAATTGAAAATGTTAAGCAGAAAGATGGCCTGAGAGTGTTACTGTTAGTCCCATAAGTAAAGCTTAAACTGCTGTATCATGAATATTTCCTGAGGATATATTCCTTCTACACCGCTTATGGAAATATTTCCCTAGGTTCTGGAACATGTACATCAGCTGTAGAGATGGAAGAGACATCAATGTAGTGGATGCTGAGTTTATTTGAGTGCAAGTGAGCTAAAAAATGGACACTGAAGTGAAGATGAATCTGAAACAGGCAAATCAATAAAGACCAAAGGTAGATAATGGTTCCCAGGGGTTGGAGGAAGGGCAGGAGTTTGAAAATCTGCTAATGGGTACAAGTTTTCTTTGGGAAAGGCCAAGATATTCTGACATTAAATAGTGGTGATGGTTACACAACTCTATGGCCAAATTAAAACCCACTGAGTTGCATATGTTAAATTAGTGAATTACATATTATGTAAATTGTATCTCAATAAAACCCTTTGAAAAAGATGAATCGGAGATAGAATCATTCTACCGTAACAACACATAGGCTGAGAGGATAGGAAGGGTATTCTAGGTATTAGAATTGCCAACATTCTTTCATGTTAACAACCCTCAATAATGTAAGCATTGAAGGAACAGACTTCAAAATACTAAGAGTCGTCTATGACTAACCCATAGTTAACATCATATTGAATGGGCAAAAGCTGGAAGCATACCCCTTGCAACCCAGCACAAGACAAGGATGTCCTCTCTCACCACTCTTATTCAACATAGTATTGGAAATTCTGGCCAGAGCAATCAGGCAAAACAAATAAGTAAAAGGCATCCAAATAGGAAGAGAGGAAGTCAAACTATCTCTGTTTGTATGTGACATGATTCTATATCTAGAAAACCCCATAGTATCTGCCCCAAAGCTCCTTGATCTGATAAACAACGTCAGTGAAGTCTCAGGATACAAAATCGATGCACAAACATCACTAGTATTCCTAGACACCAACAACAGCCAAGCTGACGCCAAGTCAGGAATGCAATCCCATTCATAATTGTTACAGAAAAAATAAAATTCCTAGGAATACAGCTAACTAGGGAGGTGAAAGAGCGCCACAATGAGAGTTACAAAGTACTTCTTAAAGAAATCAGAGAAGACACAAACAAATGGAAAAACATCCTATGCTCATGGATAGTAAGAATCAATATCATTAAAATGGCCATAGTTCCCAAAATAATGTACAGATTCAATGTTATTTCAATCAAACTACCAAAGACATTCTTCACAGAACTAAAAAAACCTATTTTAAAAATCATATGTAACAAGAGAAAAATATAGACCAAATAGCCAAGGCAATTATAAGCAAAAGAACAAAGCTGGAGGCACCAAATCACCTGACTTTAAACTATACCACAGGGCTACAGTAACCAAAACAGCCTGGTACTGGTACAAAAACAGACACATAGACCCATGGAACAGAACAGAGAGCCCAGAAATAAGGCCACACACCTACAACCATCTGATCTTTGACAAAGTTGACAAAAACAAGCAATAGGGAAAGGACTCCTTATTCAATAAATGTTGCTAGGATAACTGGCTAGCAATATGCAAAAGATTGAAACTGGACCCTGTTCTTACACCATATACAAAAATTAACTCAAGGTGGATCAAAGACTTAAATGTAAAACCCAAAACTATAAAAACCCTGGAAGACAACCTAGGCAATACCATTTAGCACACAGAACTTGGCAAAGATTTAATAATGAAGACATCAAAAGCAATTGGAAAAAAGCAAAAATTGACAAATGGGGTCTAATTAAAGAGCTTCTGCACAGCAAAAGAAACTATCAACAGAGTGAACAGACAACCTACAGAATGGTAGAAAATACTTGCAAACTGTGCATCTGACAATGTCTAATATTCATCATCTATAAGGAACTTAAGCAAATTTACAAGAAAAAAACAACCCCATTAAAAAGTGGGCAAAGGACATGAAGAGACATTTTTCAAAAGAAGCCATTCATGCGGTCAACAAGCATATGAAAACATGCTTCACATCACTAAACATCAGAGAAATGCAAATCAAAATCACAATGAGATACCATCTCACAGCAGTCAGAACGGCTATTAATAAAAAGTCAAAAAATAACATACTGGCAAGGTTTTAGAGAAAAGGGAATGCGTATGCACTGCTAGTAGGAGTGTAAATCAGTTCAACTATTGTGAAAAGCATGTGGTGATTCCTCAAAGAACTTAGAATTACCATGTGACCCAGCAATCTCACTATTGGGTATATGCCCAAAGGAATATACATCATTCTACCATAGCAACACAGGCATGTGTATAATCACTGCAGCACTATTCACAATAGCAAAGACATGCAATCAACCTAAATGCCCATTCATGGACTGGAAAATGATAGACTGGAAAATGAAAATGTGGTGCATATACACCATAGAAAACTATGCAGCCATGAAAAAGAACAAGATTATGTCCTTTGTAGTACCATGGATGAAGCTGGAGGCCATTATCCTTAGTAAACTTACAAAGAACAGAAAACCAAATACTTTATTTCTCACTTCTAAGAGGAAGCTGAATGATGAGAACACATGGACGCAAAGAGGGGAACAACAGTCAATGGGGCCTACCTACTTGAGGGTGGAGGGTGGAAGGAGGGAGAGGATCAGAAAAGTTACCTATCAGATACTATGCTTATTACCTGCTTAACAAAATAATCTGCACACCAAAGTCCCATGACATACAGTTTACCTATATCACAAATCTGCACAGGTATCCCCGAACCTAAAATAAAAGGTAAAAAACAAAAAAACAAAAAAACAAAAAACAAAAACAAAAAAAAACCATTGCACCAGCAGGAACAGACATAAATGTGTGAGAAAACACATTATGTTTACAGAAGTGCAAGTCACGCATAATGACTCAAGAACAGGGTGCCAGCAGGGAGTTTTAGGAGTGAGGCTGGAGACTGAGGATAAAGGTCAGATCCCTGGGGGCCTTTTTATGTAGCCTATTAAGAAGTTTGCATTTAGTTTCTGAAGGAGAGTCACAGAAGAATTTTAAGCTGAAAGTGATAGGATCAAATTTGCATTTTAAAGCTCCAGCAGCTGTGGTTGGTTAAGACTCAGGGTACAGTGGGAAGGAGTCGGGTAGAAGCAAAGAGGTTGGTTAGAAGACACTGCACTAATTCAGATGAGAGATGATGATGGTTCACTAAGTCAAGGGTTGGGGGCAGGGAGGGAAGGGAGACAATGAACATCATGGTAGATAGGGACCTAGCGGACAGATAAGCATATAGTATTGTGTTTACATACCATATAAGCCAACCAAAGAACATGACCTGTGCCAAACAGCATCAAGAATGTGGGCACTAAACTTTGTTAAGGCACTAGGCTTTTTTGTAAATAAGGAATGCACTTCGGAAAAGGCAAGACTCTTGCCTTTGGAATTGCAATGGGGCAAAGCAGTCAATTACTCTTTGTAGGAAATGAAGG